AAGATTGGGTCAAATTTTCGCAAGCACAACCGGGACTCGGTCTTCAGTTCGTAATATTGTTGTCTCCAGCGTGGCTTTCGATAGTCTGTCCGTTGAATTTCCTCAATTTTTATGCAGGCTCGACAACCGTGAGATTCTTGCCATGGACCCATTGATCCATCACAGGGCCATAATGACATCTGCCTCTCTCGATCTACTATTTCACACTCGTAGCAACTAATATTCCTGGTCGCTATTGCCCCCGTGAAAAACGTAAGCACCACGATGACCTCAGCCACGATCAACAGCATCACGACTGACTACAATGGCCATGCGTCTACTGGTGTTGTCGGTATGACAACGGACCAATGAGAGGTAAGTAAATTCTGCGTTCCCATTGGTCGGCTGATTTTGGATCGATAGGTAGGACCAATGAGCGCAACGCCGTGAATTTCGCCTGAACCTACGCCCTAGTGCACGAGCGATGGAGACGCGCGCGAACGGTGTTAGTCTTTTGTGTGCCCATAACGCGGCCGGTCGGCATTGTGTTATACGATGACCGTAAGTTACTCGAGCACGGTTGCGACCGTTCATTACAATTCCTTCGCACTTCTACTGCTACGCTGGCGAGGAAGTGTATACAAAGCCGTTTGGCCTATTTTGATGCTGTTTTGCAGTGCCTATGCAACAGTGGCGTTAACTTATCACTTTTTGCCGCATCAAACGGAAAGCGATCGAGCTACTCGGCGGAAATTTGTGCAGATATGTGCCTTCGCTGGTCACGTGTCTAGCGCAATTCCTATTTCATTTTTTCTGGGTTTCTTTGTGAATATTGTGGTAGATCGGTGGTGGCAACAGTTTTTACACTTACCCACACCCGACTCTGTGTGTACGCTACTCTCCACCTATCTGGTTCACGAACCCCAGATCCCGGGACAGTCAGACAAAAAGGAAAGACCGCTCATGTTTCGAAGGGCTGTTGCTCGCTATCTGAATCTGTCTGCAGCTCTGTGTTTTCATTCAATCTCTCTGAGCGTGAAGCGAAAACTGCCCACTTTGGATGATTTCGTCGCCACTGGATTGATCACAGACCAGGAGTTACAGATCTACAAGGGTGTAGCACTCGACAAGCCGTTCTTTTTTGTTCCACTTGTTTGGTCTGTTAGTTTGCTGACTCGTGCACATCACGAGGGAATGATTCGTCACGATCGACATTTGAGCGCGCTCCTGGATGCTGTTGTGATGTATTGGAGGCAGCTACACACACTTTTCCTGTATGACTATGTGAACATTCCGCTGGTGTATAACCAGGTAAGTGAGGTTTAAACGATTGTGTTCAGTTGGAAATGAAGTAGCAAGCAGTTGGGTTAATTGAAAAGCCCAGGATTGGCTGCTTTATAACCCAACTTTGCTACTCAACACAACAAGGATTCGGTAGACTTGAAATCTCATATTCAAAGGTTTTAATCACTTCGAGTTTGATGAATGTACAGCATATTTATCTAACAACTGGGTACCAAACCCGGGACTTAACTGGTAGAGTGTTAGCATACTAACCACCTGGACACCGGGTAGCTGAGTATACACGATGTAGCATAACCCATCGTTACGAGCTTGTTGCGGGCATCGGTCCTCGTTTATCTCAACACTAGCCTCCAGGGTTATGACTCGGTTGGAAATGTTGGCAACCTGACTATTTATATTTATACATGTTAAAACGTGACGAAATGAACGGACTACATCATTTAGTTTGTGACCAAAAAAACTAGTAGAGATCCGTCGTTTTTATCACTTACTCATTATCAGTCAAAACCATTTTCGAGAATCAATTTTATATTGTATCACCTCTATTTTTTCTATTATGTACCTTTGTATGAAAGGTAGAAAGTTAATCACCACAGTCACAAGGACCTACCGTTCAGCTGTGGGAGTCGGTAACTTAAACCCTAGGAATCGGAGTACTGAACTGTATCAGGCCTTACCAGGATAGAGTTCTTATTAATTTGGACGACAACACAGCTGCCTAGCACAGAGTAATCACTTAAAGAAGACTGGATTTCTGTATTGGATTATCAGGGTTGTCGGAGTTGGTTAAAAATCCTGATTCCAAACCAACCGAGAAGAGGCGTACCAACCATACACTTCTTCCTGGTTGTAACAGTGATCACCAGCTCGATTGGGCATCAAGGTGCATTGGGTACCTTGGACGTTTGACCCCGTCCAAAGGGCGTATGATCCGATGAATTGCAGCTTCATTTATCCCCAGGAGGGACAATGAGTTATTTTTCTTCATGAACCAGCTGGAGGGATATAACACTACATTGCTGAACAGAAGAATTGGTGGTGAACAGCGAAACATCGCTACCGACGGAAATATAGCTAGGACGGTAAAAAATGCTGCATTGTTTTCAGCTCCTTATGGGTTCATATTAAAATACATAGTTATTCTATATATTGTATTTTGACACTCGTCTGTAGAGCAGACTGTGCGCCATAGAACTGACGGTACAATAATCTTTACAAAGAAGAAATACGTTTCATGATTTGCTTGTGGGCGGAATACTGCNGTAGACCAGGCCAACGTAACTGAATTTGCTTGGGGAGTTCACAACCGGAGCCTTTGGCTAGCAGAAGCCTGACTATCAAGGCAGCGGGGTGGTGTGCAAAAACAGCAGTTAATTGGGGGCCGCTGTCCGGATCATCAGATCATACACCCTTTGGACGGGGTCAAACGTCCAAGGTACCCAATGCACCTTGATGCCCAATCGAGCTGGTGATCACTGTTACAACCAGGAAGAAGTGTATGGTTGGTACGCCTCTTCTCGGTTGGTTTGGAATCAGGATTTTTAACCAACTCCTCTAAGTGAACTACTAGTGATCCACCAACCCGTTTATAACCCCGGATGTCGGTTTTTTGTCCTCTCACTTTGGTGCGAAGACACTTCCGCCACGTGAAGGCCCTGAGTGGGTCTTCCTCAGCAGAGGCTATTTGAGACGTCTGATCAAATGAGAAGATTTAGCGAGGTGCAACGGAAGTGTGACCAGCCGCAACCCTAGACACTCACCCTTGACCATACTGAGGATTTTGGATTATTACAATTATGAAAAAAAACAGTAATGACGATTTCTCTTTATGCAACGCCATGCGCAGTATTTACGACAATTATTTTACTTCTTAACTGTATTTCTCGAATTCGCTAGGTATGTTTATCATCTTTGAGACAGACGTTGATGAACGACTATTAATGCTGCCTAATAGTTGGTCATCGGATCTGTTCTTGAGGATATTCATTGTCCACGCACAACCTGAATCCCATTAAATCTCTTGTTTTCTTTCTTCTTCCATGGCGTTCTTTCATCATCTTGTGCAACTGGAGTTGGCTGGAGTTGCCAATGACTGGTGCTTTCTTAGAATAACTTATTGATCGAATCTACACCTCTTTTGGGTATGTTCTCTGACAGTAGAGAAGCTGTTTCCGATGAACAACCAAACTCTTTAGAAGGGAAAAGTTCAACTACACTAATTGTTAGATGCAGTTGGTCCACAGAATTAGATCCAACGGAATCGATCACCCTTGACACCCTGAGTAGTATTATTAGACATACCCTAGAATGTACCACATAAATTGGTGTGATAGAGGAGTGAAACATGAATTTCTTTCTTGACTCAGGTGTCACAGTATTTCTGCTGAAATTTTTCAACCGGATCACGTGCTTCAAAAACCTAAGTGCATAAGGTTCGTTTGCTATCGGGGCCTAATGTGGTTCGCCACTCCAAGTCCCGGGGATTAGGTTACCGGCTTCTATCACTGAACAACGGGTCCTCGTGACTATGGGGTTTATCCCCTCTGCTGTTCATCACGCGAAAGTGTGCAATAGAAAAAAGGTAATCGATTGGTGTATTTACTATCCATGTAATTCCAACGGATTTCATTCATATTTGGCGGTAGACGGTCTTCCTGTCACTGGAATTAGTGCCTATTCCGATTTTATGACTGAACAGTAGGTTTTGTTGACGATGGGTTTTTCCCCTCCCTAGTGTTTACGAAACTAGTGAGTGAAAAACCCGTCTGGGTTTGACAGATGCAATCGCTCAATAACCAATTCTGTAACATACCATCGTTTCGTAATCAAAAGAACAGTTTCTTTATTAACGATTCAAACGGATATTTTATGCATATTGCAGTCATTTTCTCCCTCTTTCAAGGCTTTTCACCGTTTCGTCACGTTTCCCAGAAAGCGTTGATCGTTCTGTTGTTAAAGTAACACCTCGAGAAGGCGTTGGTCAAGTAGTTTATACTGTTGTCACCAGCCTACACCAGTGTGTAATATCTGAGGTTCGAATACTGCAACTGTAACTCCATTGTCATTGTAGACAACTGCAGTTAACCAAAAGTTGCTTGGGAAATATAAATTTCGAAAATGAGCCACAGCAGGACTTCTAGATTGCTGTTATGGTGATATTAATCGCTTGAGAAAATTTTCAGGTGATTATTCGCTGACGGTAGAGCAGCACAGTAGTTAACCAACCGCATTTCCAGTGCTTGAGCGGCGCACTCAGGACTGAAACATCTTTGACGTAGTCGCGACGTTTCACTGAAGTTCAAAGATTGTGTATGTTGTGCTACCGTTCATTCCATTCTGATTTTATGGCTGAGTGAGTAGAAGATATCCGTCGAATAGAAGTTTTCGACTATCGGTGTTTACGTGGTTTAGCTCACGTGGGATGGAGCGAACGGGTTATAAATCTGGAGGTAAGCCGTCGTGTGTCTGGGAGTCCATCAGGGATAAACTGGCTAGCTCATCGAGTTCAGATTAGTAGATTTTGCTGTCTAGGGCATGTATTGCTTATACCCAGTTGTCGTCTACCGCACCGCGCTTTATTCGTTGTAGCCGCCACGGACTGGAGGAAACCACGTGGAGGCTAACAGATAGCCTGGAGACGAGACAGGGAAATGCACAGAGCTATTAGGTAGAGTAAGTGTCTCGCGCTTTCCAGGTTGGGGTCCGAAAGACTCTTCAACTATTTGGTTGGATACATTGAAGGATATCGTAACGAACCGAAAACAAAGGCGTTCCTGATGTTATTTCTTATCAGGACAGAATGTGGAAAAGGTATGTAGCCCCGGAAAATCTGAAACAATGTGCATGCATAGTTAATGCCAAATACAAATGACTATCTAGGCCAACGTTGAGTGACACGCAACCTCAGAAGTCAAGTCCAAATGTTCTAAAGGTTTATTCGACTCCAAACAATAGCGAATAGTAATGCGGTTCTGTAAATATAAAGCGTTGTAATCACATAAACAACACCTTAAATCGTGGCGTTCTCAGGGGATATGCCTGAACCGGCGGAACGAACAATGCTAGTCGAGAACCAAAGTGCAAGCGAGGGAGTTCACCACTCCGTCAAGCGAACAAGCGATAAGTGAGATAATGTCAGAGCGCTGATGTGCACATGGGACGGTGTGGTGCATGGGTGAGACAGAGGACCAATCCGATTAAGTAAAGGATACGTAATCAGAGGACAGGGTGAGTCAGACCAGATCAGGGTCCCCAGTTGGGTCGATGAATTCACACTGCTGATGAGACCCAACCAGGTCAAAACAGCTGTCCAGTGCTTCCTAGGTTTTCAGTTAACGCTTCATTTGTTATATACATGACCAATTCCCACTTGGAATCGATCAAAGTTGAATTTTCTGCTCAGCAGTATGCTTCCAAACTATTAAATCACCCTGTATTTGTTTAACTGTGCATTTCATCGACATTATCCGAACGGCAAAGCATGCTATAGAAGCATTCATCTTGTTGACTCAGGTACAGGACTTATGTTCGAACACCTGGTGGAAACAGATTATCAAGAAGCGAACTGAGGATCCTGTGTAGCGATTTATTTCTGATGGATGTTCAGTCGAAATCAATCAGAGCCGATCTCACATCACTTCTCAGAAGTGGACGTGATTTGAAATGGAAGTTGCTCAAGAAACACCATGACTTTGTGCTTTATTTATTTTAGCTCCATCGAATCGCGCATTCACAGCAGTTGAGTTTCGCAAGGCATCTGTTACACAAACGAACGAATGATCATTTGAGCGAGTAGACGCCCCCCTCCCCCGCCCTCGTTCAGTTGAGTTTTCACATACATGGGCCATCATTTGCAAGCAGGACGCATAATGAACATCTTGTAAAAAAGAACCACGCGCGAGTCACTGTAGCCATCTTGACCGTGAGCATCGAACAATCGATTTTCACACAGCCTAGTTTGGTTTAGACATGTGTGATCGTTATTGTCTATCTGCTAATGTGTGTGTATGTACTGGAGAGATGGTGTCGATCGACCCGGTCAAAAAACGTCATCTCGGAACGGACATGTTTTGAGTGTTGGAGCACGTATATGCCCACGGAGCCCTAGACCATGTATAGAATGTGCATTTCGTACGTTCGATTGCCATGAACTTTTCCTGGAATTAAAATTAGATTCACACCAGTGGAACAATGAAGAGAACCGGTTATAGGGTTTTGATATGAGCCCTAGTTTATTATTCCTCATATCTATGGGATTTCATTATTCACAGTTTATGACACACGATAGGTGATGTAGACGACCTGAGAGCACTTCACTTGAAACCGATTTTCCTTGACTGACATCGAACACTGATGGTCATTCGTTCAAAATTAATCGTTCGTGAGTGCGGCTTGATTGTCTAATATATAAACTTCAGTTTCTATTTTTATGATACTTGGAGCTTGATTCGTTTTATTATATATATATATATTGTGAAGAAAGTTTAATACTCCCTCTATCTATTCACATTGTCTTCACCTATGGGCAATGCACAATTACCATTCATACTGTAGTTGTGTTAAAAACCCTAATAGGAAATTTGCAATTCTTAGCTTTTAGTACAAAGTAATTAAGGTTTTAAATGCAAAATAATACTTCCAATAAAGTGGTGCGCTCCACAGTGCATTTCATTTTATATATTAGTACGGGGTAAGTCACTATTTTGCTTCAGAACCTTGGCCCACCTTTGAGACATGCCCTGTAGGATCAGATTGTGTATAAATCACGTGCTCAAATTTTAATGTTTTCTTAGGTTTATTTAGGAAACATTCCAATATCGAGGGGCGGTGAATCGATGCACTCCGTAAAATGGACGGAAATCTGCACCAAATAGCAAAAACCATGTCAGTTGATCAAATCAAAATAAGTC